GGGGGGGGGGGGAAAGAAAAACGAAACGAAAAACTTCGACCCGTGATAATAAACGATAGGAAAAATGGTGCGCGAGGTGATTTTGATGATTATTAACATTATGAGAAATGTGTGTCGTTCAAGGAACACTGACGAATAATTAAATGTTCTAAAGACAATGAGCGAGTTTGATAAAAAAACACACAAAATTTAGCACGATTTTAGTAGTCAATTTATTGTGAATCGCGCTATATACATACATATACATATTTATAAATATATATATATATATAAATATATATATATTTAAAAAAAGTTATGTCGCGATTATTCTTAAACATAAGAAACAAACAAAAATCATGAAAGGGTGCTTTAGCCCAACAAAAACTCTCTGTAGTAGAAAAACGATTATAACAATAACTTATATCTATTTTTTCGAAGTGTCCGCTTTTGTAAGTTATCGCATAATAGAAATGATGATGAAAATGATATGAGAGAGAGATGTATGATGATAGGGATGATTAATTGAGTGATTATTAATTGATTGATTAATCGAGGGTAATAAGTGTAAAGAGGTTAACGTAAAATGAACGTTTGAGAAAGTTTCGATAATAGAGGTTGATGATGATGATGAAGAAGTTTAAATAGATGAATAGAAGTGCCACAGGAGCGCCCGTGTTTTCTTGCTTCACGGTGCGCAACATCCGACGTTACCTGAAGCATGAGTCTCGTCTTATTATCGACGATTCACATGCGATGAAATAAATAAATAAATAAATAAATAAATAATTAATTAATTAATTAATTAATTAATTAAATAAATAAATAAATGAAAGAAAAAAAAAGTAAATAAATAAAAAAAAAATACACAATTATATACATATTTACATATAGTTTATTACGCATTATAAAAAGTAAATGAATAAATAATTATAAATAAAAATATACATACATATATATATATATATATATATGTATACATTTTATGTATATGTATATATATATGTATATATATAAATGTATAAATATATTTAATTGAGGGAGAAGAACGAAAAGATTACGTCGAGGCACATCTGATTTATCCGTGTGGCGGATTATTATATTTATGTGTGTATATGTGTATATATATATATATAAAAGTATGAATAATGATATGTCGCATATTCCTTGAGCGGGAGAATATGCGAGTCTATTATTAGACGAATGAGGGAAGAAAAATGGCAAACAAAAGTATCGATATAATATGATCAAAGGCTACAGTCCTACCTACCATATATATATATATACATATATACACACTTGAATGCGTGTAAAGAGAGGACAAGAAAATGAACAACACAAAAGCAACAAAATAAAAAAATGGAAAAACTTAATAAAATGGACACTTTGTAGATAGATGGATGACGTTGGGGTAATTTAATACGCAACAAATAGTTATGGATTATAAAATGAAAAGAAAAGAAAAAAAAAACCAATTAAGATTAATATTAAAAATTAACATTAAAAATTAATATTAAAATTACAATTAAAACTTAAAACTTAAAACTTAAAACTTAAAACTTAAAATTAAAATTAAAATTTAAATTTAAATTTAAAATAATAAAAATTAAAATAATAATGCGAAGAAAAAAACGCAAACAATACATATTGTTTACATTATTTAGAATTATTATACTGGGGAAAATAAGTAGGGGTTAAAATAGAATAATAATAATAAAAAAAAAAAAAAATGAAAAGAGAGAGAAGTGTAGTGCATACGTGTATACATAGTACTGATATATGAAGAGTGTATGCTGATGCAATGGGAGTTAAAGGGGGAGGGATGTATAGGAAGTGTATGTAAAAATAAAACGACGGTCAGAGTCATGTAAAGGAATGGAAAAAAAAAAATAATCTTTATTTAGCGATATCTAAACTTGAAATGAAATGAAATGAAAAAGAAAGAAAGAAAGAAAGATAGAAAGAAAGAAAGAATGAAATGCGTATCCGATAAAAGTAAGTTGTTCATGTGTATATTTTTGTAAATAGATATATGTGAATGCCGCCGCCTTGAGGGTGATCCATGTCGTAGTTTAAACTAACGACGGATCAATAAACCCTAATTTTTGCTACCACAGATCTTATCGAGAATCGGGTCCCTTCTGGTTAACAATAACGCCATGTATTACACAAGCGTGTCTCGCATACAAACACACACACACACACGACATTTACACGTTTAACACATAAAAGTACTACGCGCGCATACACATAAAAGAAAGAAAGAAAAAAAAAAAGAAAAAAAAAACCAATTTAACAAACAAACAAACAAATAATAACGTTTGAATCAATTTATCTTGAAAATTATTTATGATATAACAGAGGATCCTCTTGTAGGATCATCATCATCCGATCCATCCCTGTCGTCCAATTTTTCTTTTTTAACTTTTCTTTTTCTATTCTTTTTTTTCTTTCTCTATGTTTTTTTTTTTTTTTTTTAAAGTATTCCTTTCACCTTCAATTTTCTTTTTTGTCTCATCTCACTCACTCACTCACTCACTCACTCACTCATCGATTTCGTCTTCGTTCATAATTTTTGTTTGTAATTGTAATTTTTATTTCATTTCTTTTTTATTTTTTATTTTACTATTATTTTCTCGTGTGTTCTCTAATAAGTTCAATCATTTTTTTTTTTTTTCACAAAGTGATCGAACAATAAATATTTAGTGCATATCGAAGCAATGGGTGTTATTCGCAAAATTCAAATTCAAATCTCCTCACGGGTTTATATAATTTTTTTGTTTGTTTGTTTAATTCGTTGAATTAATAAAGAGATCGATCAAATTGTGAATAAAAAAATAAATTAGTATTAGAAAGAACAAAAAAAAAAAAAAGAAGAAATAAATAAACAAAAAAACGAAGTAGTTAAAATTTTTTCTTTTACACATTTCAAATGGAACAATAATAAATATATTTGTATATTCGAATGTGAATAATCGGTAATAGCGAGATACTATTTCACTTTTGTGTCTAAAATAAATCGGACCAAAATCATTTCAATTACGAATTTTTAATCTTTCGATACAAAAGTGTGTCACAATTTCGATATCTCTCTCTCTCTCTCTCTCTCTCTCTCTCTCTGTTTCTCTTTTTCTCTCCCTTATATTTTTCCCCTTTTTCTCTCTCTCTCTATAAATTTTCTTTTTTTTTTTTAATAACACGAAAGATGCGTTCTTTGTACCAACAAAAATAACAACAACAACAAAACAATAAAAACACACAATAATGAACGAATGTAAAACAGACTAAGGACAAATGAAAAATTGTCGAGTTGGCTGGTCAACGTAGGTCCCTTATAGTTACTAAGCGCGTGGTCCAATGGTTCAGGGGATACAATTTTTATATTTTCTGTGTGTTGTATGGTTCAACGCACGTTCGTTGCAATTTTAAATGAATGTCAACGAGACGAGCACAGTAATAAAACGCAAAAACAAAGAGAAGTAAACAAAACAAAACAAAACAAAAATATTACAATTAAATAAAATATTAAATAACGTTATATTAAATAAATAAATAAAATAACGAAACAAAAAAAAGAAAAGAAAAAATAAACGCGTGAATCAAAACGACGATGAAAAGGAGAACACCACATTGTTTAGTAAGAAACAAAGGAATGAAATAATGAATGAAACCACCCCATATACATTAATAATAATAATAATAATAATAATAATAATAATTGATTAAATTAAGAGCACAATAAAATGGGTGTTGATTAAAAATGGAATAAAAAAAAAAAAAAAGAAATAATAATAATAATAATAATAAAATGGATGAAACGTTGTGTGAATATTTTCGAGAGACACATATTTTTTAGCGGATACGTATTATCAGGCGCGTTTACCTGCCAACTCGTACGATTACGTCGACAAAACAAGTAAGAAAAGAAAGAAAGAAACAAAAAATAAGAATGTTATTAGGAAAAAAAAAAAAAATAAAAAAAAATTAAACGAAGATCGATTTTATTCAAATTGTATCATCGAATGCGACACGTTCGTCAAGGCCGAACACTATTTTCTTCTTTTTCTGCGTGCGATATAATTATTAAGTTGTACATATTTTAAATCTATCCTCTCTTTGTTTTTTTTTTTTGTTTTTTTTTTTTTAAATAATTTCTCAAATGTATTCTGCTAAAGTTTGTCCGAAAAGGTTCATGTCGATTTATATAAAAAGAAACAAATATATATATATATGTAAAAAAAAAAAAAAAAAAAAATCGATGCCTTGTAATTTTTCTTGAAAAAAAAAAAATCGATACGAAATCTACCGGACGAACTTAGGATTATTTCTTCTTCTTCTTCTTCTTCTTATTTTCTTATTTTTTCTTTTTCTTTTCTTATTCTTATCTTCTTTACTCCTTGTGAATATATGCATTGCTTCCGATAAGAAAAAAAAAAAAAAAACAAAAAAGAGTAATTGTAATAAAGTGCGTTTTACAGCACGTGCTCGCCAAGCATGACGACGATGATCATTTCTTTCTTTTTTTTTTTTTTTTAATTAATATATTAGAAGGCATTATGTACACACAACCCCTTATTGTACTTTATTTTATCTTATTTTACTATTATTATTTTTTTTTCTTCGTACTAACAGTCGAATCTTGTTAGAAAGATTATACCAACATTGCAAGACTCTACTTGTCGTAATTTTATAAAAAAAAAAAAAAAAAAAAAAAAAAAAAAWAAAATAAATAAACTTATCAACGTTTCTCCCCACCCCGCCCGTACACACACACACACACACACAGAATGAAAAATTCCTTTGGAATTCTATGATTGAGTTTAGTTATAAGACTGGCAATAATCATTAATGAAAAA